TTTATTCCATGCCACTTTGGGAAATGCTCTTGACATAAAGACAAACACAAGGAGTGTAATCTTGAAATATCCCAGGAATAACTTTAGCACAGGAACTGGACAATATCTCTTAAAGCACAGACTTGTGAGGACAGCTTGAAAATGTCCATCTGTGGCATGAATTGGTATTAGTTCACTGTAGTCATGGGAAGAGCTGAACCTCATCCTTCTCAGTTCTTCCATATCTGTACTAGCTCTGGCGGAGGACAAGAGGAAAAGTCCTTAAGTTGTGCCAGGAGAGGTTCAGGTTAGATATTAGGAAGTGTTTCTTCTCTGAAAGAGTATTCTGGCATTATGGTCCACTGAAGTAGTTTCCCCTCTGGTAACTAATTGTTATTAGTTATTACGGGTTCTTAATACAGCTTATGGAAAAAGACACTGTGGGTCAGAGAATTAGATCAAAGCAACACTTTACTGTACTTTCCTATTTAAAATAACATGCTTACAATGGAAGTAGGAATAGCAGAAAATTCAGTCTTCAGAGGCTGCATCCACAGAATCATAGAAAACAGTTTCAGAAGAGAGATGAGCAGATCATACAGACCATCCTTCTAAAACAAGACCAGCCCATTGTAGACTGAGAGTTACTGCACTCAGTGACACTTCCAGCCTGTCTTAATTATGTACGTTCTCTATCTCCTCCCACCACAAACTGTGCTTCCACCTGCTCGTGACTTTCATCTCAATTTATTATCTTTTAAAACCCATTTCCTACTTTCATTTCCAGGTTGCACCCATTGTTTAGTTGTCACTCCTGTGCAGGCTGACCTCCATCATGACGTACCTTTTATAATGTCTCTACTGCCCGTATTAAGCAACAGAAGCCATGTGCAAATATCAAAGCATTTGCAAGTATTCAAGCCCACACCAGGCACCTTCTGGCTCACTGAGCATGATAGAATCATGGAATTGTTATGGTTAGAAGATAGCTGTAAGATCATCTCATCCAACCATCAACCCATCGCCACCACGCCCTCTAAACCATATCCCTACACCTGTGTATGGTTCTTGAAAATCTCCAGGGATGACAACTCCATGTTCTGAATATCATGGATGCTGGCAGAAAATATAGTGAAGATGAGTGATAGAAAATAAGCTGTGAAACACAAATCCTCGAAAGATGTGTAGTCTTAAACTACAAAGAACTCTCCAGATGAGGTTAGAGACAGTTGCTTGGTCCTCCAGCTCTGCGAGCAAATAAGGACAGGCAGCTTTGGTGTCTTAGGACCAGGAGGGATTTTATCTGAATTCAAGTTGTAGCTCAACATCCCTTCTCTAAAGGGAATCAGGACTGGTGGTTGGAGAGGAAAACAAAAAACGTGTGAAAATTAGCAATGTAGTCTTGTGTAAGTCAGTAGGGATACCCATGTGCCTCACACAACAGCAAGAGGCTGCTGTCTGTCAAGGCATGAAGCTGAGACACGTGCCAAAGTGTGTAACCTTCCAAATGCTATCAGTTTGGGTCCTTTAGTGGCTTTTCTGAAGGAGTGGTGGTAGGAGCCAGCTGTTCTGGTGGTTTAGCAAACGAAGAATTAATTTCTTTTTCAAAAAGATGTAGGAAGCATCATTAAAATGGTGATTTCTTACAATTCCCTGTTATACCTCATTCTTACTGTTTACCCACTTAGTATTTATCCCAAAAATGTTGCTCAGGACTTTGAGGGTGAAGGTTTGGGTCCTTCCATTTTGCTGTTCTACCCATGCAGCACATGAGGATGACTAAAATGAAGTACCCTGGGGAAGAGGAACAGGGTGAAAGGAGGGATCTTGCAGTAAAACCTCCCTTTCTCTTCCGGACTCCAGGAAAGCAAAAAAGAAGCTTTTCTGTGCGGCTCCCATAATCTCCAATTGAAGAAAAGCCACCAGCAGAGCTTGCATCTACTCTGGGCAGTGAATTCTTATGCATGTATCACACCTAGTTATATTTTCCAGCATTTTTAGATGGTTCAGCAGATTTCCAGATTTATCATCTTCATAACATTCTTATACTACTTTCCAAAGCTGTAGAAACCAATAGCAACATTTGATGGCCGTGAAATCATATTTATGGGATCCATTAAAAACACCGCGCTGGTAGTTAAATCTGGAACCTGACATAAGTGATGAAAGAATATCGGAGAAGTCCCTGTGGAGTAGCATATGTGGGCTATGCTCATAGCATCGGGAAGCATCTGTCACAAATTTCAGCTCTCCCAAGCAGATCTAAGCTGACATTAGCATTGACGATCCAAGGCACATCCAAGAAAGTGTGTGCAAAGATGGGCTTTTAAATGATGGTTGTATTCCCACTGTACCACCAGACTTTGAACTTGAATACGATGTAGAACCCGTACTGTAGGTCATAATATTCTTTCCAAGCCAAAAGAGAGGCTACTTCCAATAGGTGATGGTGTTCTTTGGATCAGATCAAGAAGGAAGCACTGCAAGTATTGATCTGCAGTCAGCTGCAGCCGTCATTTTAAATATGGAGTAAGCACATTCTTTACTCCTAAAGCTTCTGTTTTAGTGATTTCTCAGTGAATCAAAACACCAACAGCACTAACACAAAAGCTTACTACCTTATTCTCCGCTTCCTGGGAGCTAGAGGCCCCCACAGAAAGAATTTAAGCTTAGTGATCAGAAGCTTGCCCTACAGAATGTTGTTTTGTTGCCTCTTGGAGGTCATTCCTAGATCACTGCACTCAGAACATCTTGGAAAGCCGGAGGGTGAACCAGCCCTTCAAAATCTCCGAGTCCACTTTCTGACCTGGGAATAATACAGAGATATCTTTTCGTAGGAGAACGAAAAACAAAACTTTTAACAAAAGTGCAAAGGAAGGAAACCTTCTGATGTCTGTCACAGAGACTCACAGCAGGTCCCCTCCTGATGGGCTCACATTCCCCTGACGGTACAAAGCAAATGGCTCTATGACCTGATTCCTTTCAGCACTTCAGTGAGGGGCCACAGCAGGGAGAAGTTTCTGTTTTATTGTAATCACTGCTCTTATCCCCTTACTCTCTAGCTGGGACATTGCTGGCTTTCTAAGCTATCCAACCCTAGGCAACAATTTCCCGAGTTATTAGCTCTTAGCAAACATTTTACTTGCTTGCCCAGGGTAAAGTCAGAAGAGGTTTTTAAAGCATGTGCCAAGTGTTTTTAGTGGCAGCAGATGCTGAACCCATGTAAGGCCATTCTGGACACCACACGCCTTCACTCCTGGTCACAGGATGCCAGCTCTGCCATGATGTCAGCTGCCAGAGGATGTTGGACCTCAATGTCACTACTCTCTTGGCCTTATGGAGCACCAAAGGCTTTCATCCAGGCAGGAGAACTCCAAATCTCACCCTTCCCAAATGACACACTGAGGAAAGCCCACTCCCAGCAGTGCCAGGGGTGGGGTTGTGTGCTACATAGTCCATGTGAAAGTCTGCACATCAGTGACTAGAATGACTCAGTCCTATGGTGTGGGTCCTTCACTTACCCACGACTGGACACTTCCAGCTCTTCATAGAATCATAGGATTGCTCAGGTTGGGAAAAAACTTCAAGATCACAAAGTCCAACCACAACAATCAAGTCCAACTGCATCCACTTCTTCACTCAGAGGGCGGTGAGGCCCTGGCACAGGCTGACCAGACAAAGCTGTGGATCCCATTCCTGGAGGCATATAAGGCCAGGCTTGATGGGTTCCTGGGCAGTCTGATCCGGTGGGTGGCAGCCCTGCCTATGGCAGGGGGTTGGATCTAAGATGATCTTTGAGGTCCCTTCCAATTCAAGCCATTCTGTGATTGTATGACACTTCATTAACTGAAGGGGTGAGCTAATGGCAACCGCATCCTCTTCCTTCTAAATCTGTTTCTTACCAATGTTTTGTTTGAAGTGCACACATTCTTTTTATATTTGTATAAAGCTCCAGTACAAATCCTTCCAGAATGTATTCAAAGGCATTAGCAAGGGACTTAACACGAATATGTTTGCTTACCTCTTATCTGTGTGTTTCTGATTCCTTTACACTGCTAATGTGCTTTTAATTTATTTTGCTTGCTTTGTTTGGCTGCAGCTCATCCTTTTGTTCAGTGACAATTATGTTGGTTCCAAACTCCAATGCCTGCCTCGGCCTTAGCCAGATGCTGATGTTTTCCTCACCTCTTCAATTGTTAACCACTGTTACTGTTGCACTGAATCAAGGTCTCAGATCTTTCGTGAGATGTTCTGACAACAAACGTCTGCTTAATTCTGGCCTAAAAATCAGCTGGGGTTGAGCTTTCCATCCACATGCTAAGGCTGGCGAGTCTGCAGCCTGGAATAAGCTTTGTTATTGTACATCAGCCTCCCAGCTCCATCTGAGCACCGAAGCTCATACATTTTATGACACTGTATATTACTACTAAAACCTCATTCTATCTTTGTAGTTACCTCATCCCACTATGGAATAACGTACAGTGCTAATGACATGGCAATGGTAATAAAACTGCCCTATGATGATTTAAAGGAAAAACAACCTCCCTCCACCCCAAAAGCCTTCTAACTGGCACTTACTTTTATGACGGATTGCTCATTCACTTATTAAACATTTATTGTTTCCTCAATAAAAGTAATCTTAGATGTATTCAATTATTAATATAAATAAGGCACAGAATTGGAAACAGAAGCAATCTCATTTTCTTTTCGGTATTAATCTTCTCTCTTATTCAACCATCACAAGAGCAGAGGGAAAAAAATCATTCAGACTGACTGGAAAACAAACATGAGAAAAGAGAAATTCTTATCTGTATCTGCGTCAGGGAATAAAGAATTAAAACTCCTTGGGAACGTGTAATATTTCCAAATGTGTGGTGGGATATTGTCAGCTTGGTGTGGCTCTTGAAACCTGAGGCTCCCACAACTGTTCCGCAAGGGCTGCATGGAGGGAATGCAGAACAGGAGTGAGATTGCTTTGTGATGTAGGTGTATAAGCACACGTATGCACACACAGGAACGTATGCAGATGGCACCAAGCTGAGGGCTCAGGCTGATGTGACAGAAGGAACGGATGCCATCCAAAGGGACCTGGATAGCACTGAGAAGTGGACTCAGGTGAACCTAACGAGGTTCAATAAGGCCAAGTGCAAGGTGTTGCCCTTGGGTCAGGATAATCCCAGATATGCACAGACTGGAAAAAGAACTCCCTGAGAGCAGCCTTCCAGAGAAGCACTGGGGGTTCTGGTGGATGATAGCCCAGAAAGCCAACCATACCCTGGGCTGCATCCAAAGCAGCACAGCCAGCAGGGCGAGGGAGGTGATCCTGCCCCTCTGCTCTGTGCTGTGAGACCTCACCTGGAGCACTGCGTCCAGATGGGGAGTCCTCAATACAGGAGAGACATGGGGCTGTTGGAGTGCTTCCAGAGGAGGGTCACAAAAATAGGCCCAGGGATGGAACATCTCTCCTACAAGGATAAACTGAGAGAGGTGGGGCAGCCTGGAGAAGAGAAGGCAATGAGAATATAATTGTTTTACATTTAGGGAGAAAAAGCTATTTATTCCTGATTGGCTCACATTCTTCCCTCTATTTTGCAAAAATCTCTTACAGAGAAAAATACTTGGAGGATAAGAAGGGAAGGAGATCTTCGAGCTCTAGGATTTCTGAAGTAGACAGAATGAGAGGAAACAATGCAATATGAGGAACGAACAGAAAGACATCGTGGGCTGTTTGTTCTAGTCAGCCCATGCCAGAGGATGTGGTCATTGTACACAATCACTGAATGAAATGAAAAAGCGTCCTGGCAAAGGAAGAAAGAGAAGGGATAAACATGGGAACCCAGGGATTTGTGCTGCTCTGGTATCTCGTAGAAAATAATAATTATGAATGGCTAAACTTATGAAAAAAACCCACAGATGTATAGGAAACTGGAAGCTATTCATTTTGTTTTTATTTTATTTATAAGCCTATTTGGGATTTTACTGATATTCAGAGGATTGCTGAAAATTGTCAGGCTTTTCTTGCTGTTTTTCAGCTGCTAACCATCAAATTCCTTTTCAGATTCTGATGTTGAAGCCATATTCACATCCATACTCATTTAGCATGAGCAAAAAGAGCCAAAACTTGTGTTTTATTTCACTAGCATTACATTATTCATGGAGTAAGATCTCTCTTACTTCACAGTCAGACACCAGTTCAATGGGATTTAACCATATATTTAACTTTATGTATCACGAATAAACTCCTAAGTGAATTGCATTACTGGACAGCCATGAAATACCAATACACAGCGCTGGTGAATGTGGACCTCATTCACTGTTGTGGATTAGAATGCAGGAACAATCAGCTCGTCAATAAATGTGTTCTGGCATCATTCTGAGATAAAACCTGCAGATTTTATTTCTTGCTTAAAGATTTGCTCGATAAATATATCTATACTGAAACATATGCATTTAGGTAGCAGAAGTAACGACACTCAAAGCACTAAGGGCACTAAAGACCAGAAGAATTTTTCCATCTATTACCAGGGGATGTACAAAAGGATAGGAGCTCTCTGGAGTATTGTATGATACACATTTTTTCCCAAAGTAGCACAGCTCAGTGACACAAATCACAAAAGCAGCACTGTGTGCCAACCTGTCCATCACCACCTGCCTTAGGATGATGCCACCAGCAGTCCCAGCTGAGGCTGCCAGGCCCTGGGGCAGGTTGGCACTCTGCAGGATGTGCCCTCGTCCATGCCCACCACATAGGAGCAGAGCAGAAGCAGCAGCCCTTGAACCTCAGAGCACACCAGCATTCAATAAGGACAGGTCCAAGAGCAGCCAAACTGCTAAAACTGTGTGTGCTCATGCTCATCATCCTAAATCATAGAATGGCTTGGGTTGGAAGAGACCTCAAGGATCACGAAACTCCAACCCCCTACCACAGGCAGGGCCACCAACCTCCACATCTCACAGCAGCCCAGGCTGCCCAGGGCCCCATCCAACCTGGCCTTGAACACCTCCAGGGATGGACGGGGCATCCACAGCCTCTCTGGGCAGCTGTTCCAGCACCTCACCGCTCTCACAGCAAACAACTTCCCCCTGACATCCAACTGAAATCTGCCCTCCCTCAACTTCAAACCATTTCCCCTCATCCTGCTGTTTTCTCCCCTTTCCAAGAGTTGACTCCCCTCCTGTCTGTAGGCTCCCTTTAGGTACTGAAAGGCTGCAATGAGGTCACCCCGCAGCCTTCTTTTCTCCATGCTGAACAAACCCAGCCCCCTCAGCCTGTCCTCATAGGGGAGGTGCTCCAGTCCCCTGATCATTTCTGTGGCTCCTCTGCATCCTCTCCAACAGCTCCCTGTCTTTCTTGTACTGGGGGCTCCACACTTGGATACAGTGCTGCAGATGGGGCCTCACAAGGGCAGAGTAGAGAGGAACAATCACCTCCCTGTCCCTGCTGGCCACCCCTCTTCTGATGGAGCCCAGAATGCTCATTTATGCTATTAACAATCAAAAGATAACCAGCACCCAGCTGTGGCAATTTGCTGCTAGCAATCCCCTCCCAACCTGCAGCGCTTTACTCATTCCACACACAATATCTCTGGCTAGCCATTCTAATTCTTATTTTGCTGCTATTTTATCAGTGCTAACATATCATCGTATCATATTTTTGACAAGTCCACATGCAGGTGGAGATGCAAACAGGGAAAAAGAAAACCAAAAAAAAAAAAAAGGAAAAGATAAAAATCTGTTGGAGTCAAATTGAGTTTTTATATTAGAACTGACTTCATCAGGTACATCATCTGTGAGCACTGGAGGAGGAAAAAATCTGGTGGAATAAAGAATGCACCTGTCACTATGTATATGCATGGTCACTGTGTTCAGAATTTAGGAAAAGATCAGAAATTGAGGGCTGTTTTGAATGGGGAAAAGTATACTGCACATCACAGCTGTGAATGGTGGAGGGATTTACCACTGCACTGTGTGCACAAAGGTTTCTCATTCCCTACAAATGGTTTTATTGTCACAAAGAATATACTTAATCATCTTTGTGAGCTAAGGCATATCTTGGATTTTAGAATAATGTGTTCAGATGCAGAGATGGGCAAAAATAAATAGGTCATTAAAAAAAAATAATTAGTCATGAACAGCAATATTTGTAACAGCTTAAAATTATTATGAACAGATGGATTGCTTTGACTTTAGAGATACTGGACTTAGCAGAGGCAACCAGAAGAAGGATCACAATTCAGTACAGGTTACATAAAAATCTGTTGTTGCTTCCCAGGTAACTAATTATCTAATTGCTTCCAAACAACAGAAGATTGTGCAGAGAAATGGGCTCCTCTCAAGAGAATTGAGCATCCGAGCAGGAGGAAGCATTTTGCATTAAGCAGAAAAGAGTGCTGTCCTTTTTGCACGGGCTCCACAAAAGTTACGCATCGCCTGATTTCAGTTCGCAACAGATCATTTTATTATCCCCCATTATTATTCTTTGATTTTTTTTAATCATCGGTCATGGCCTTTGGGTTGAGTATATTTTAAAATGATGGTGGAATTCTTCATAAAGACAGAACGTCTCTCTTTATGTAATTGCCAGGATCAACTGGATGACCCTCTTATCAAACATGTCAGGACTCTTGTCAAGTCTGGACGCACGGCACATGCTGAGTGGCTTTGAATGGCGTTTCCTCTGGGGAACGTGTGCTCCATGGGGTGCAATATTTTGACTGTGAAAAGCATGTGATAAAGATTTTCCTTTTGCTTTCTGTGCTAAGACATGCTGGTTTCCTTTCTTTGCATGAGTCGCGTATTTGTGGAGCTGTTTCTAACAGCTGATGGCTGGCTCACGCTGGGTTATGAAATGATTAAAGCAGCCTGGATTCTTTGGGCAATGATCAACTTCAGCAGAAAAGCACACAACTCATGGAGCTTGCCTTGAATTGCAGCTATAAAAATGATAAGACATTGGAATTGGTACTTTAAAGAATTCTTTGGAATGAAATACGAATCTATTCCCATGAAATAGCGGGGCTGTTTGAAGATGATGTGGACCTGTGTATTTTCGTGAACGTCATCATCAAGTCATATGAGCAAGGCTTGAGAGACCAGTTCAGTATAATTGAATTTAAGGGAAGCCTACACGCTGATTACAGGCAAAGCAATAGAAGAGTAAAGCTACGGAGTATTTGTCTAATGGGTTTTCAAGGAATTGCTGGTGAAGCTCTTCTTCAAGGATGGCAGAAGAGTGAAGGGAAAAACGTATGTGCCCAGTATTGAGTGTTTGACTGATGGCTCAGCGTGAAGGATCAAAGCCCATTAAAACAGCTACAAAACTGCAGGAAATAACAGAGGAGTGTGAGGTGTTTCTTTATTACAGCTGTAGAAAAGTGTACTTGTTGCTGAGTGTAATTAGTTCAACAGATTACGTCTTAGCAGCAGAAGAATCAATGCCTGGGTCTGGCCTTCGTTTAGGGAGAAAAACAGATAAGCTGCGTTCCACCTTCCCACATATCAATATGGTTTTATCTATTTTCTTGAGTATGACAGTCTGAAGAGGCAAACGCCCTTTTTGAAGTTAAAAATGCTTCTAAAAGAGCAATTCAGTTTTACACTACTGGATAATGCTAAATTCCCAGTGAAGAATATTGTACCCAATTTTTTATTTTTTAAAGAAAACTACGTATTTTCAGAGCTCCTTTGTAATATTCTTTGCTAAAAACCTGACAGATTATCTTCTAAATTTTCCTCTCTATGTTTTTAACTGTAAATAAATAGAAAAAATTTCTCAGCCATCAACTAAAAGGGTGTGTTGCTATGGTATGCTGAATATATGTTTCAACCACTAAGCTATGCTCCTGGTAGCTTAAGCACCAGGCAAGCTTCCAGTGTTTTGTGTGGCTGCCTGGACAGGAAGGGACAGTCAGTGTTTCCATCCGGGGGGTGCATAGAGACAAACATCCTGGTTTAATTAAAACCCAAGCATGTAATTTGGTGTGAGGTAACTGGGAGAAGTATATTTGGCTGGAGAGAGGCCCTGAGTGAACCCAGGGAGGAGCTGTACTTCCATTCCCTATTCCCTTTCCTTCCTATTCCCTCCATGCAGAGGTCAGCGGGACGTGAGCACAGATTGCAATGCATGCTTTGTAGCATGATTTGGTCTTCCCCATCAGTAGGGTTCTCACCTGTTTAATTGCCTACTTTGCACTGATAAGGAAAAAGTTTTTATAAAGAACAGCAGCGCAAAGACAGAGCCTGGGAAACCTTCATGCTGCAGAGATGCAGAGAATGAACATAGCCCCAGGGAACTTATTTGGTTTTGAATTTCCTTCTGAGGAGCAAGAAAAGGTTAAGCAAGCAAAGAAACAAACAACAGAATGCTTTTGCCGATATAAATTCTGATCCAGGGCTGCACCATAATTGTTATAATTTGCACAGTGCAATCTGCTGTTTTGGATCATTTTAGTAGAAGGACTTGGGAAGATGGCAGACCAGACATCCATCTAGACTGCGGTTAATACAGAACAATGCACACTTCAGCTGATTTATGGCTGGTAAGAGTATGTGCAGTGGAAAGGAAGATGCTCTGCTTGCTCATTATATAAAATACTATACTTTTATCGTACATAAAATAGCTTTTAAAGGTATTGCTTGAGAAAGGAGTAGCACACAGGACATTAGGTTAAACCCATATTGTTCTTTATTATTCATTTTGCTGTTGTGGGAGGGAATGTCAACACAGCACACCAGGAAATGCATGTAGAAGGAAGATCAGAAGGTTGTCTGGTCCATCACTGTCCCTCTCACTGCAGGAGTATTGACTCCACCTGTATCCTTCCTGACACATGCATGGTAGGTATTTTTCCTGACAATCAGTGGTGGAAGTTCTGCCACCTCCCCAGGCAACTTTTTAGGAATGATTTCCATCCTGCCACTACACTGCTTTT